CCTCTTGCCCCAACGCTTCTCTCGTATCTCTTCTACCAACATACCAGTGACATTTTTTGCCCCGTAGGGATGAAAGTTGATCCACGAACGCAAATTTATCGTGCGTATCTATTTATCCATTGTACGGGAAAATTGTAAAAAAAAAGTACTTTGTCAGTAAGTCATTTTTAGAAAATTGAAAATGATGTTCATCGATGGTGAGTGGCATTTTTCATATCCTCTTCGTTATATACCTTTATTTCCTATTTTTTCTTTCTTTTTTTTTTTTTTTTTTTTTTATGGGATATAAAATTTTTTTTTATATTATTATTTTTATTCAGTGACTCCGCGCATATTTGTCTATAATAATAAAAAAAATATCGTTGAAATGATCAAATATTTTCAATATTAAAAAAGAATAAATTGTTCCAGGGTAAAAAATAAATCTGAAAATTTCGATATTGCAACTTTCATATAAAAATTAAATCGAACAAAATAATCGCGAAAAGTGATTTGATAAAATATAATATTAAAAAGGAAAAAAAGCTGGCATTATTTATAAAATGAGGCAGCTACATTGGGTAGGTTTCGTTGGAATAAAATAATGATATCTATAGTTCTATAATAACTCAGGGAGATGTCATATCGACAGTAAAAAAAAAAATACCATATTGTCCTTTAATAAAACTGACCAGACCATCCTAAAAGTCGTCCCGTAAAATTTCAAAGCCGAAGCCACGCGAAAGAGTTTACACAGGAGATCGGGTCAGATAATAAGAGGATTCGTTTACGAGGGCTCGTAAAACATGACGGACGTTACCAGGTGCGGAGCTCGTAAATATCAGTCGGTTCCGGGCCATGAATTTATGGACCGTCCGCGAAATCGCTGATAAGAATCGGTAAGTGTCCGGTCGTTGCACCAGGTTAGGTGCAAATGCAATGTATTGAGACGATATTGGTCGCAAAGGCTTTAATTCCTTAAAACAGTCCACTTGTCGAATAACTCCAAATATTTTCAAATCAAATAAATAGATATAACCTAATCGTAATAATAACATTTCATTTTTCCTTTCCTTATTTCAATTGATACAGTATATGCATATTTATATAATATTTTATACAGTCAGAAGAATAATATTCCTGTTATCATATTACGTACATTCGTTTTTACATTTAATACGAATAGAATCCAATATATTTCTGTTATATTTTCTGAAAAAAAAAAGAAAAAAGGAAAAAGAATAAAATTGACGTGAGATAATATTTGGACAATTTTAATTAAAAATATATATATTAAAATAAAGGAAATAAAGTTACCAGTATTCGACATTTCATACCTAATTTTTTCCGGCAATCTTCCTCCGTAATTGTAAAATAATCTAAAATCCTTTTCGATATCGGGATTATTAATACGGTCACGTTTCAGAGGATTCGAGGGATATTCCTTAAATCTATTTGTTTCCGTTATCGAGTCTGTCAGGAAGGTAATAGTCTTTGAAACAAGCGAAGAAAGTTCTACGTTCGCTTTATGATCCTTCGTAACATGTCCTGGAGGTTGTTCTCGGAAAACCGGAAGCTTTTTCAGTTTATCTCCGACCTTATGATGAAATCTGTCGATAGAGGAATCTGTCTTCTGAGTGAAAACATCGTAAATACTGCTCGTTGATGGATCGAAGTAATCCATCGAATTTGTTGTTGCTACATTCGACGGATGTGTCGAATTATCACTTTTCAAAATCGGTAACATCTTTGAAATAGTCGCTCGCGTATTATCTTCATAATTCGTTACATTATTTACCCTACTTTCCATAGAATTCTTTTTATCCTGAGATTTCATAGTATAAACAATTTCCACTGTGCTTCTCAATTTTTCCAAATCCGCAGGCAAAATTAATTTGGAATTCAAATGTTGAAACGTTGAAGAATCAAAACTTCTATCACTTTTATTTGTCTCGTTAATATTTGCAAAATTATCATTATTTTTTGTATCGTTCTTAGTTATTCCTAACGAAACATTTATTTTTTCACTCTTTTCAACGCCAGTCAAAAACGAATCATTGAAATTTTCATCTTTTTTTACTTCATTTGGATTAGTTGTAAAATTCACACCTCGATCTTCTTTGATATTACGATTAATTGTTACATCGGAATCATTCAAATGATTTATATTGTTTGAATTTTTTTTCATTTGTGTTTCCTGAGATACCATTTCTTCCAAAATTTCCGTGCGAACAGTCGATAAGGAACAATCAATTGAATTTAATCTCTCTGTAGACGTTTCCACATAATCAGACATGATTGTATTTGTTGAATTATCCAAGCTCTCAATTTTTTTCGTTGACATCATGGGAACTTTTATATTTGCATCATCTAAACTAATCATTAGAGAAATTGATAATGGTATTGTTATAACTTTTTCATTGTCCGATTCATTGCGAATGCTAACTTTTGTTATCTGATTATTTCGATAATTTCCTGTATTTGTTAATAATTTATTTACATGTACAGTAGAGGAAGATTTAATTGTATTTTCCAAATAATCGGCTTTCGTAAATCCTTGCGAATTCGTATGCGAAACCACAACATCACTTTTATTATAATTATTCATAGAATTCATCACTTTATTTCCTTTTAAATTTGTATTGTATTCCATACTAACGTGTTCAACATTCTCTTCTTTTTCTCTATTTTCATTAATCTCATTCTCATTTATATCGCCACGATTATCAGGAATAATATTGTTATTTGTATTATCAGAAGATATTCTTGATTTTACTATGTCAAAACTCGACTTCGTAAATTTTGTATCCACAGTATTTTTGCTAATGCTGCAAATATTTCATGTATTAGAAATATTCTTAGAAATATAAAATAATTATTAATTATATTTTTTTTTTAATCAAAAAATCAAATGTAGTATTTTAATACTATGTTTAAAATGAAATCGTTCATTAAAGTTATAACAAAACAATATTCAAATATTTAATATCATCTGTTCAATAACAAAAAATCAAGAATCAAATTTAGCTTACCTATTGTTCGTTCCATTAAAGAATTTTCTTGATACCAAGCTTTGTTCGAAATTTTGATAAGCTATGATTAAAATTTTAAATAAAAATTCCAATTTTTCTTTTAAAATAGAACCTTTCTCTTGCGCATTACGTAGTAGTAATAATCTCGTCCAGTCGGATCTCAAAAGACCAAAGGGTAAAGTAGTCATTGGAAATTCAAAACCAACGACCATTGAATCAATTGTTGGTACTTTTGCAAATTTCAATGTAGAAATATATTCCTCTAAATCCAGAATATATGATTCCAGACATTGGTCTTTTAATGATTGCGGTCGTTCCACTGTAACTAAAATCAATCAAGAGATTGAAGAAATAAAAAAAAAAAAAATAAAAAAATACAATATGATATAATAAAAATAATATAAGTTTTAAAATAAAACATTAAAATGAGCTTACACGTTTCACAAATATTTCATGTCTCTTTTTTTAATTAAAAAATAAATCAATTCAATTATGTCTCATTAAAATCAATTAAAAAATATCATGTATATCTCAATTCTACATTAAACAATTCGTAAATTTAATCAAAAATGATTCTTGCCTCTGTCCTAATTTATTTTCATGCAAAATAATTTCTATGCATACACGTCCATCCACCGATCATCAAAACTTTTTCCCCGATAAAAAAAAAAAAACAAAAAAAAAAATTGGAAATTATTACAACGAAAAAATTATTATGATATTAAATAAAGGAAAGAAAACGACCATACTCACTGCCATTTGCTAAAGCAAACAAAATAAAATTGTAAAAGAAGAAGACAAAGAAATGCACTTGTCGGTGCATGACTACAAGACGAACTGCGAAAAGACTTGGACTATATTCTATTTCGTTGAAATCGGCAGTTCCTCGCTGCGCATCACAAACGACAATTCATGCTTACCGTGTGAATAATTCAGGATATTCTTCAGTTAGAAAGAGAGAGAGAGAGAGAGAGAGATCGAAATCTGAACAAGCTAAGCTCAAATAAACCACATTTTCAAAAGCAACAAAAATCATTGGAATTTAATCAATTTCATTTTTTTTTTTTATCCACTGTATTTCTAATATTCTTCGAGAGATTATTCATATCAGATCGAAATTAAAAAAAAATATATATATATATATTACATATAATTATAATTGATCACAAAAATAATTCCATGCAACATTTGTTTATTTTCCTCTGACACCTCTGGCAGATAATTTTCATTCATAATTATCTTATATAACATATTGTTTATTCATCCGGACGATTTAATCGCGACTTGTACGAATATCCTGGCGCACACGCTTGATTCCAATTAAATTTAGGCTTTTGTTTGGATTTCCATTCAATTTTCTTTCCCTTCTTTTTTTTTTACAAGTTAACCGATGATGTCTCTCGTATTTTTGTTCGACTAAATTTCTCTCTTCTTTTGTGTATATATATATATATGTATATTTGTGTGTATATATACATATACACACGCACACACATATATACATAGGACAAGGATTGACCTACTATATAATACAATTACAAAGTAATTAAATACATATTTATAATCGTCATATAAGCATCATTTTTCATTTCTACAGGCATCCTTTTTGATAATGGATTTCGAAAGAAGATCTAAAGATCAAAAGCATAATCGAGAATTATTTTTATTGAGTAGAATAGATCACAGATATAAGAGAAGCAGTTTATTTATATAAGAATTTTAAAACTATCTCTTTAGATTTTCTTAAAACAGAAAAAAAAAAAACATCCTTGATAAATATATCAATTATTTTCTGCTCTTTTTTCTTCTTTTTTTTTTCCTTTTTTTCATTTCACATCACTTATGTTCTATTAACATTCAATATTTTGTAAAGAAAAATGTTTTATTTTGTAACGAAGAATGTTTTTTTTTTTTTTTTTTTAAATCTTCTCCCTTTTTCTTTCGCCTTATATTTAAATAAACATAATCTTATTATGAATAACGTGCGTGATAATGGGTCTACACGTTACATAACTAACAATATTAAATTTAAACTACGTTCGCATCCATCTGCAAATCCATCTTGTAAATGATGCCTGTTATAATATAAAAATCTCAAAACTAGTACTGACGTCTCTTCGCCTTCTTTATTTATACTATATATTTACACTTTATAAAGGGGCAATGATATTGTACAGTGACAACGAAAGAAAAGAAAAAAATCTATTTTGTCTCATCTTTTTGTTTATCTCAGGATAATTTTATATATGAAAAGAACAAAAAAAAGGATTTTATTTTAACTAGGATCGTATGTATCCCTTTAGGTTTTACCTTTTTCTTTTTTTTTTTTTCTTTTTTCTTTTTTATAGTTATTCCTTCCTCGTGCCAAATACAAAATATACATACATATTTATTTGAATCACTTTTATTATAACAAAAATAAATCGATTTGATCTTTTATTTTTATTTTTGTCTTTGTCTATCCTCCGAAAAAAAAAAAAAGAAGAAAAATATGCGCACAATGGCACAATCAACATCGATCACACGAAGAATAATAATAATTTCAAGTCAAACACGCGGACGGATAAAACGAATAACGATTTTTTTTGTTTGTTTTTTTTTTTTTTTTTCGAATAACACAAATAGTTGTAATCTTTATACTTTACAAATAAAGTGTTTTTTAATCCCGTGAAAACAAGAACAAAATTCATACTATTCTTAAAACATAAATAGAATTTATGTAACTTTTATCAGATTTTGTTTTATCTTTTTCTTCCGTTTACATATATATGTTTTCTTCTCTCTCAAGTTCTTTGTTATTTCTTTTTTGCCTCTTTTTTATACATAAATAATTTTTAACTTCGTAACACATAAGCTTCATTATAATAACATAGTGAGTTACAGCATTAATCGTCTTCTTATCGTTACGTCGTTATTATTATTATTATTAATTAATTTTATATAATTATTATTTTTTCTTTTATTATTACTATTATTATTAATGTTTGTTTCACAAATATATTCGCACTCTTAACTATTTGTATGTGTCGAGGTTTGTATCGTTTGTTTTATTTGTTTGTATGCAACCCTGAGACTACGATTCTATGCCACGGCGAATGTGGATTATAATTGTAGTGAAAATAAAACTTTAGGGACAAAAAAAAAAAAAAGAAAAGAAAAAAATTACAAGAAAAGAACCAAACTAACGAAAATGATCAATTGATCAATTTCAATGGGAATGAGGAACCATACCAAAAAGTCGGTTTCATAAAAATACATCTTTGCTTTTATACGTTGAAACGTTTCGATTATTTAAGAAAATATTTTTATTTTCATTTATGTTTAATATTTAATCATTGTGATTGATATTTACTTATTTTAATATCATCGCATTATGTATACGTGTGTGTGTGAACATTTTTACTACATCTATTGCATCTTATTGTCAGATATATAATAAACGATCGTACGTATTGTTAATAAATTATACTTCACTTGAAAATAATAAATCAAGGAACGATCGGATTATCAAGCAAAAGCTTATCAACAATGCGCGAATTTAATTAAGCTTTACGAGACCACTCTTATCGCAAAATCTGGTTAACATAGTTTCACCGTTATTATTAACAAAATTATTTGACCATATCGATTTTCATATATATATATATATATATACACTCATGGAAATAATTCATAAATGATTATGAAACCAACTTAAGAAAAATGAAATAAAAAAAAAAAATTAAAAAAGAAATACGAAAGAAAAAAAAATCAAAAATAAAGTAAATTCATTAATATATCATATATATATATATATATTATAATCTAAAACATAAGAAAATTTTTTTCACGAAACTCCAATGGTTCTACAAAAGAAAAAGCCGAATAATGTGTAAATATCACAGCCCAAAGAATATACTCTTTAACGTTAATTAACAATAAATATGAGAAGGAAGAAGCATGACAAAAGAATGTATATTGAAATTACAAAACAAAGAAAAAATGATTAAATGATAATTATATTATTCCGATAGAAAAGAAGAAATTTTCATTGGCAAAAAAATTCGAAGAAGAAGAATTTTTCTTGCGTCAGTCCTTCTCATTGATTATTTTCCATTTTTTATATAGGCTTTTTAAAATAAAATTCATTGAGATGAAAAAAGAAAAAAAAAAGAAAAATATTTAAACAAGATAAATTACGAAATGAATGAAAAAAAAAAGAGAGAGAGAGAAAGAGAAATAGAAAGAAAAAAAGAATTAGTAGCAAACTGCAAATAACATGGTTAAAATTCGCCGTGGCTGAACAGCCATGTTTTCATTTCATTTATTATGCTATCTACTTCATGACGAGGAACAAATCATCAAGCAGGAAAACTTGAAAGAACTTAGGCGAATAAGATATAGAGGGAAGTCAGTATCATGAAATATTAATCGTACTTAAATGAAGGATAGGTGACAGATTGTTCTAAGATAAACGGGAAGTGAGGATTAGGGGTAGGAGAAGATTAGAAAAAAAAGAAGAAGAAGAAGAAGCAGAGGGAGGGTAAATAAAGGAATTATTTGCCACATTTCCATGATATGGATAATGCAACGACGCGACTGAACTATATATTGCACTGTAAAAGTGACGATATAGACCTACGATACGACTATACCAACATAACATTTTCACCGATTCTTTGATCGTTTATTTATTACTTACTTTTTTTTTTCTTTCTTTCTTTCTTTCCAACGTTACTTTTTTAATCAATTATTAACATTTCCTTTCTCTATTGTGCAAAAAATTAGAATACTTCAATACTCGTTACTCATACCTTAAAAGAGAAAATTACATTTAACGATGTAGATTACCAATACATTCCGAGAGTGTATCTTTAAGTTTTAAATCTAATAAGTGTAACACGATTAATTTTTCTTTTCAACATAATTAATTCAATTTCTTCTATCGTTCTTTTTAATAGTTTTCAATGCGAAGTTATAAGGCAAAAAAAATAAACAAAAAAGAAATATTGAAATATCAGTGAAAATGCTAACGGCAGACTATTCGCTATATAAAGAAAGCTCTAAAAAAGAAATTTCTATTCGATTATTTGAATTTGTATTGAACTTTCACTTTTCAGAATGGTAGTTCTTGTTACATAACGACTTTCCTTCCATAGTAATAGTAGTAGTAGTAGTAGTGGTACTATGCACACGACCCGCACGCGATACTCATAACGATAATAACTAGATAATAAAGATCCCTGAATATATATAATATATATTCTCCTACATACATATATCGTATATACATATGACATATTTATATGATATATATATATATATATAATATACAGGGTGTCCCATATATATAACTCTTTCAAACTCTTTTACCAAAAGTTGATGTTTTTGATTTTTTTACTTGTAAACTTTTGTTTAAAGGTATTTTTTTGTCAGCTTATCGCAAATACTTGAAAAGAGTTATAATATTACACTCTGTGTATGTATATACATATATTCTCCTTTTTTTTTGTGTGTGGCACACGCGGAACAAGTGTCGCGATCATTTTTAACAAACAATTAAACTTCTCTTTTCTTTTATTTTATGTTTACTCTTCCGAACTTGGCTGCCTGGCCAAAACCTGCTCTTAAAATATATTCTTAATGTATCATATAAAAAAAAAAAAAAATTAAAAAAAAAATAGAAAATAAAAAAAAATTAAAAAAAAAAAACTAAAACAAACGTGACTCTAATTCGAGAACGATCCAGTCATTCTTTCTCTTTCATTTCTTTTTTTTTTTTTCTTCTCCTTCATCTATCCAACTTAATCAACCCTATATATTCCTATCACTGATTTTTTATTTGTACAACGATACACCCTAAAGGTTTAAAGTGCTGTAACTATGGATGTTCGATACATCAAGCTTAAGTTTTAATAAGTATTACTTTCAAACATTAATGCCACCTATAATGCCAAGTAAACATCTGTATTATTATTGTTATTATTATTATTATTATTATTATTATTATTATTATTATTAATATAATATTATTATCATTATTATTATTATTATATTATCATTATTATTATTANATTATTATTATTATTATTATTATTATTATTATTATTATTATTATTATTATTATTCTCTTTTTTTTTGTCATTTTGTAATTTTTTTTTACTTTTCTTTTCTTTTAAATTATCAACGTCACTTACGTTTTTCTATACGTACTTCTTTGCTTAATTAACTAACTGCCAGAAATGATGCATATGGGTCCAAATTGATACAAACATGAGATGATTAGCAAACTCTGTCTCTATTGCGAATATGTAACATCAAACACCCACAGTTTATCAAACACCACAATTAATAAACTTCGATCTGACTTGTACGATCATTGGACTCGATGTCACGATCATAATGATCAAGTGTGTAAACAAAAACATATTTATTTGGTAGTGCGATCTGTCGATCAACAGACTATATACTATCCTATTAATGATACTTCTAAACGTAGGCTTTTCGCATTTTATTTTTCGCGTTTTTTATGCTGAAAAATCACATTCCTTTTCCTATACCTGTAAAAGGGGTACTTGAAAAGGAAAGCATGGTTACTTTAAACAAAGAAAGCGTATGGTATCTCAGTACTATACGCAAGGTTCGATGATCGTTGGAAAACACTGGTCGAAATCACTCCACGCTTAACCTTTAAAAAATAAAGAATCTTTTGTTCACGAGTTTGTTTTAAAAAACAAAAAAACATTTCTATGTATATGTAATATATATATAGAACATATATATATTATTAACATATTATATCAGAACTGCACTGTTCTTTTTTTTTTTTCACTTATATCACTCACTGTCATTCTCGTTAGTTTCGAAAAGGCAAGTTAAACACCTCTGTTATTTCCGCACAATAGTGATTATTTTCTAAATCGACAATCAATGATAACTTTGACGAAAAGTTCTTCTTTAAATGATAAGATTCGACCAGGTTCTAGTTGTTTCATCGATAATAGGCAGCTTCCAACATTTCTACAAAAAGCTTGTTCATCGGCACTTTGCCCGTTCTACAAACACTCGACCAAAATTTCCTTACAATTCCATCGGCCTGCCTAAGACTAGGCAGTATTAGGAACATGTTTTGCGTAGCACGTAATGCCTGTCCTGGCCTAACAGCTGCTACACAGTCCGAAAGGGAATTTAATATTGCGTCACGAAAGTGATACAGCGCTTGAGGTTCATCTGATCTTGCGTCGCTATTCGCCAGAATCAATGCTTTCAGTACATAGTACTCTTCTTTGATCAAACCCAATCGTTGAATCCTTTCTACGATCTGGATACACTGTCATAAACAATAACGAGGAAAAAAATGTTATTAGAGATCCAAAGAAGTCACTTGCACCATGTTAAATTCCATTTTATAATATAAACGTTTTTTGTAATCTTATTAAACAAGGAATACTACTTACGTGTGTATATAATTCTATACAATGGCATTCACGTGCCTGACGTTCATCCAAACTGAAATCTTGAGCGAACCACAATCTACCATTATTAGGCACACTTCTCCATGCTAAACTGAAAGTGAGAATTTCCGCCCATGTACTTTGTAGAAGTCGCATCTGGTCATTTAAAGCTAAACTGCTGAATCCTGGTATCTGCTTAGCCCAACCTTTTAAAGAATATCATTTTTTGTATTGTAAAAATGGAAAGCTTACCTAGCGTAGATTAAATTACTATATTAGTAATTAAAATTACCGATAGTTCCAACTAATTCGCGATCATAAAGATCCGCCATTTGGCCCAGTATCCTCTGATCTGTATCCAATGTATGAGAAAGATTGGATACTTGTAAAATATCAGGCTCGCATGCAGCTAGAGCTTCGACCATCTTGTTATCTAGAAACACACATATATAGTTTTAATCGATTCACGATAATATCAAACATCATGATATATGTGTTTTTCTTTTTACTTGATATTACGTCAACTTTATCCAGTTTGATTTTATCTAACGTAAACCAAACTTAATAAATATTCTGCAGCTTACTTATTTGTTCTCCAGATCCTCCGGATGCTACGCTCACTTGAAATATTAAAAAATGTTTGTTTATATGTACGGATACTCGAACTGGTTCTAAAGTCACAACATGGCATCAAAAATTAAAATGGAAATACTTTATAAAAAATATTACCTTCCAATGTAGCCGTTTTCACAGGGATGTAAGGGTCTGTAGATCTTCTGTACTTTTGCCTGCCACCTCTCACCCGATCCAATCTTACACCTTCCTTTAACATTCCTTGACGAAGACACTTTTGAAATCTGCACGCTTGACAAGCTTTTCTTCTACGTTTATTTATTTCGCACTCTCCGTTTGCCGGGCAAGTATATTCAATGTTTCCTGTAAAGTTACTCGCTATTTTATCGTAATATACATGGCCTTGATCCAGATAGTACCATTATTAATAGACATTGTTACAAATAATCATATTTATAAAAGTTAGTGGTACTATCTGGTAAAAAATGATCGAATTTCCAAGAGTAAGAAAGAAACGTGAAACTTTCTTTACCTTGTATGGTCCTTTTAAAGAAAGCTTTGCACGCTTCGCAAGATGCGACACCGTAATGGAATCCACTTGCTATATCTCCACAAACAAGACACAGTCTCCTCGGCATCATGTCTTCCTCTTTAATGCCTTCCTAAATAAGAAAGACGAAGAAACAAAATACGAATTTTATTTTGAAACATTCATAATATACAATACAACATTAAACAACGATCGTGTCATGAATTTTGAGTAATACCTCAGGAGTTCCTAAAGGTTGAGTCGTCGAAGAACAGTGATGCATCTCTGGACTACCTGGACTTCCGCTACCACCTCCACCATTTCCGTTACCAGCGCTACCACCACCACCACCTCCGCCGCCATAATCAGGCGGCACATCCATTTTTGTGCAAATTACCTATAAAATATTACATTTATCGTTATTATCTTATTGAAAAAGTCATTTGAACGTATTTCTCAATTTCTTTGCTAAATGCTATTGAATTTTACCTCCTGATTTTGCAGTGTAGTGGTCGGTGAACAAACTTGATAGTTTTGCGTAGGCGTCGCGGGGTTGTCGACTTCTTGTTTAATGTTTGGCATGGTTCTGTTGTAGCATATCATACCTTCAGTAGCAGTGCCAGACATCATACAAACCTACAAAAAAAAAAAAAACCAAATGTAATTTAAACAAATGGGGCTGAAGAAAATATCGTAAAAGTTAAAATTCGACTGGAAAACAAATTATTATTTCCTCTCTTCAATTCTCATCTTCCTCTCCCTCTGCCGCTCTCTTTCCTCATTTTTTGCAGTCGGTTATAGAAAAAAAACTTATTGCTCTCTCCTTCGTTCTCTCTTTTTCTCTCTCATTTTTTTTTCTCAACTTCTTGCAGTTAGTTGCACTTTTTTCGATGACTATTTTTAAACGCGAGCAACGTCGTGAACATTTTTAGAATCGACTTCAGAGAATTCGCGATTGAGAGAGGATGCTCGTAACGTCGTGGCCCTCGCAACTTTCGAGCCAGGCTAGAAGCGAAAAAAATCATTTTTAACTCGACGGTCTCTCCTCGTAATTATCTTCGCATCATTGGCCTATCCTAAATCTTCTCGATGATACTTTGTTCTGAAAATTTTCTTCAATTCGTATCTACTACGCAATAGTCTTACTATCTGATGCATTTTAATATAAGATTAAAAAAAAAAAAAAGAAAAAAACATACACAAGAAGAAAGGTATTACGTTTCGAGTCGTTGGAGAGAAGATAAATCGAGAGAATAAACGACGGCCTCGAATTAGCAACTATCGACTTTCCTTGCTCTTTTTTATCTACCATACACTTTTGGGATTAATTACTTCAGCATCTCGCGTCGTATATTTTCTGACGAGATAATTCCCTTTCATAAAAAAAAAAAATCCATTCGAGAGTTACTTAATTGTTAAAAACTTATGAGAAGAAAGTAAATGAACCCTCCTCCTGTGGCTCTTGAAAATTAGCTCAACGATTTTAAAATACTCGCGAACAATGTATAAAACCTACTACTGATATTTACGCTTAGATAAAAAGCTTCTATACACATATAATATAATAACTATAGTAGTATGTACTTCTTTTTTCTTGCTCTCATCAAAGGAAAATAAAAGGCTACAAAATTGATGACGCAAAGAATCTTGCATTTAATCGTAAGCTCAAAGATATAGTAGATACGCGTAAGAAGATGATGAGTCTTTCTGCGCCATCTGGTTGACCTTGAACTTAAATTTCTTCTTTTTCTTTTTTTATTCTCTATCCCTCCCTTACGACGTCTCTAAATGACTGAAGCAAAGGCGAGAAGAAAAACAGTTTTTAAAATGTCCACACGAAAGGACCTATCCTTGGGAAGATGGGCCCTTAAACAGGCCCTTGCTAGGTTCCGCGAACAAAGTAACGGTGAAAGGATTGCGTAAGCCTTCTTCTTCTTCTTCTTCTTTCCTCTTCTTCCTCATAATCCCCTCCCCAACTTCCTCATCATCCTCTTCTGCCCCCTCCATCTTCCCCATCATCTTCCTTCATCTCTAACTTCAACATCTCCTACACACAAGCACCACATACGGTGTCGTAGTTCGAATAAAGTAAAGATAGAGAGACGCAGGATATCTGCTTGAACTTGAACTTGACTTCTCGAATGAAACAACTATCGCATTCGTGCGATTCAAATATGCTTAGAATGTATAACTTTTTGTTTTCTTTGCACTATTATCTTCAAACGAAAACGAAGTAAATGCTAATAATTATTCCACTTTTTTCACAATAACGAGCAAAGTGCTATTGTATTTTTCCACTATTAGTTTGATTACATTTAATATAAGTAATAAGCTCGACGATGAACTAAGTCGTTTAAGAAAATATGTATTTTTTTTTTCATACGTAAGTATAATATATTGGGTTGTACGGAAAGTTTGTGTCAATTTTCGGTAGGTGGCATAAAGTTCTTTTGCTAAAAAAAAAACCTGAAAAGTTCTGGAAAAACGAAATTCTGAAGTTACCTTTATAGATGAGAAAAGTTGTGGAACAGAATGTCATTAATATATAATTTAATAAATATATATCAAAAAAGAAACTTAAATGTTTGCATTTTTGTTTCGTTGCATTCAATCTTTCATCAAAACCGGCACAAACTTTCCGAACAATCTAATAAAACAATTGTAACATTACTTGTTTATCATTTGTAATTAATACAAAGAAGATTTAGAAATTACAGAAATATAAATGTGTAATTTCAAGCATACATGTTAAAAAGAGTTGACACAAAAATCGTGATATCTTTGAACTTGTTCATCTTTGAATTAGATAAGATATTAGGAAAAGATCAATGATCGATGATCATTGAGAAAAAGAAAAAAAACTCGTCACGTGATTAAGATTTAACACGCTTACTATCCAATTCATACCTATGATCGTAAAGGAAAACAATAAATGAATATTGCATAATGAACGCTCGAGTTTGAGTCCTTATTAAAGCATGGTATGAAATTAAATAGAAAAGGAAATTAGATAGAGAGATAATAAAGAGATGCTTGGACTCGTAAACCTTGAACTATCCTCTCATTTCCACAGAAGCGTTACGTTATCATATATGCTTGTGAATTATTTCTTCCGGTGATAGAATTAAATCCTATATTCTGTCAATATAATTACGATATAATAAGAAAAAGAAAATTTAAGTAAATAAGTAAGAATATATTTTTTATTTCAAAATTGATACTCGTAGGGATCATTCTATCTTATAAAATCGTCTGTATCTTATTATCTTTTTACCTTTTTCATTATCCAATTTTTATAAACTTATCGAGACATCAAATTAATCAAAAATTTGATGAAACAATCAATGACAAATTTTATCTTGAGGATACAGAAAGTTTGCACAAATATTAATAAAATGCACTATCGTTGTTGAACCTGATAAAAATTAACTTCAAATTTCTAATACATCCCTTTTTTTATCGTTTATTATTCTTAAAATATTACAAGAGTAAATGTAAAGTATATACATCAATAAAAGCAAACTAAAACTAACGTAACATCCTCGTGGCTGTGGCTAATATGAATAAAGCATATTAAAAAAAAAAAATATATATATATATAGACATTAAATAACTTAATACATAGAAATTAAGAAACTTATTGTTCTCATTAAAAATTTCCATGATATATCAAATAATAATGAATATTTACGAATGCATAGGTAGTATTTATATATCCAACATATATGTGTCAAATTATTTTTCACAAGTAAATGTAAACTAAAAATAAATAAGAGAATATAATGTATTCATATATATATATATATATATATATATATATATACACACATCTAAACGAAACTTCATTGATAATTCATCCATGTAACTGAAGTGTTCCTACGTGTTACTTCGAAAGGAAAGTAACGGGGAAAAGATTACGTAAGATGCATCCTCTTCACACCCTTTCCTTTCCTTTCCCTTTCGTTCTCCCACCCTTTCATTTTCTCTCTCTCTCTCTCTCTCTCTCTTTCTCTTTGTTACACGATTTCTCCAAGCAGCCCTTTAGATCAGTCGTTCCTTGTTCGATCGCATATTAAATGATCGCTTTAAGCGAGAGACGCAACGAGAAACGAAAAAAAGGATGAAACACGACAGAGAACACGCGCGGGGAGTTATCTACGGTTGGCCTTGAACTTGACTTTTCTGCGTGTGCAACAAGGGAGAGAAGGAAGGCGTGAAGGGGACCGTACGGGAATGTGAGAGAGACAGAGAAAGATATATATATATATTGAGAGAGAAAGAGAGAGAGAGAGAGAGAGAGAGAGAGAATCAGCAGCGTCGCGAAGGCCGCAGAACAGCGCCATCAAGCGCAAATTTAGATACCGAACGCCAACGGATACGGCCGACTACACGACGACCTTGACGCTATTCTCCCTTTCCCTCCCCCTCTCACTCTGTCACTCTTTCTCTTTCATTCTCCCCCTCTAACGCTTCCAGCGACAGCGCCCAACGCTTTTCAATCGTCTCCTTCATCGCGTGCCTTTTTTTTTTCTATCTTTTTGCTTACTCTTTCTCTTTCCTATTCTCTCTCTCTCTTAAATAAAATTTTTGTTCTTTCTCATGAGTGCTCGCTTACAGCCTCCCCCTCCCCTCCCCTCCCCACCCCCTCTCATCCACTCCACCATCACAACCAGCTTCCGACTGTCTGTCTCTGGACAAAAAATTCACATAAATCTCAACAACATCGATCTTTGAACACTTTGTCAAGAAAATATTCATACATGTTATGTAAAAACATGTTGATAATAATATTAGGTCTACAGGAAAATTTTGTCCATTTTGAAAATAAAATAAAATAATAAATTATTCATAATTTGAACAATTAATTAATTACTTTTGAACTCTTGCCACAACATGGTGGCAATTTGTAAATTCCATTTTAAGAAATGGGGCCTTACGTAACCCTAGTGACGAAAAATTGAACTAATGTTTGCTTGAACTAACAGAATTTTCCGATAGATCTAATATAATTGGTAATAATTATTGTTAATGTTTATTTTTGTTTCATCCCAATCTTGTTTCAAAAGAATGGTGGTCAGTTACGCGTGTGTCCGTTAGATAAATTAATTTTATCTAACAATTTATTTTTACAGTACTGTAAATTATATATGTAAAATTTAAAGATCAAATATGTGAAAAAAACGATGTAATATGGATTAATGTTGGTATGGTGGTCGTCACTTTGAACAGTTTCTTCAAATACGATAATGTTATCATGTAAAAAGAATGCTAATTGCAAGATAAACTTTAATAGGAAATTATTGTTTGGTGTAATTATCTTTTTTCATAATAAAATAAAATTATGAACTAACAATTTCAAATTTCTAATGTAAATCATCTTGTGTATATTTGATCGTTTTCAATATATATTTGGTAAAAAGCAATTCTCATGAAAAAAAAAATTGCCGTTTCAATTTTAATAGAACGAGTCAAATCAAACGCATGTATATACTGTGAGCTACCATACTGGATTATAGAATTTGTTTTATTTGTTCTGTTATTTACCTTAGATTCGACAACTACAAACATAACAGATATATGAAGAAAATTATCTCCCCTTTTCGAAACTAAATACACATAATCGTAACTTATTAGAT